GGCGCACGGTGAAATTGGCTTCCGTGTTGAGGTCCTCATGTTTTTTTTTTTTTTTTCGCTTACGTTTCGGGACCCAACAATTTGACATATTGTTATGGAGTATGTAGGATATTATGGCATATGGGGAACCATGATGATCAGTGGCATTGTAGGATATTCCACTGGATATGGGATAATTTTGACATGTTTTGACATATATTTTGCAGATTTTTTCCGGTCTGCCAAAGATCGCGTCTGCATGGGTTCAGCTTGTGCCTTGGGCATTGGGAGATTCTTGGATGGCCATAGACGTTGCTGAAGCTGCAGGATACATAGGATACACCAAAAAACCATGAAACAACATGAAACAACATGAAACAACATGAAACAACATGAAACAACATGAAACAACATGAAACAACATGAAACAACATCACAAAAACATCACAAAAACATCACAAAAAACATGCAGTTGCAGGATATTGCCTGAGGCCAATGCCGCAGGCTGTAACTTTGGATGTGCCTGCCGAGCTGATCAAGGCACCGAAAAGCAAACTCCGCGGTGGAGTTGAAATGTTTGAAACTTTTGGATTCTGAATTCATTCTGAAATCTTTCTGAAATCCTTCTTTTGAGCTCTTGCGACATTTGGAGACCATGGATTGAGTGAACTGCAAGATATAGTTCCCCCAGAACGAGAGCAAAATCACAGTTTCCATGGCCATTTTTGGCATTCTGGGCCAGGACCCTCGGTCATGGACAGTCGAGGACATCAGCGTTTGGTTGCAATGGCTGGGCATAGGCCTGCTGGGGCCAAACATGAGGGATTGTAGTAGAATGATGTAGAATGTTTAATTGGATATACCCAACGATGGGGATCGAACATGCATTTGCTCTTCAACTCCTCGGCAGTCGAACACCGATCCAAACTGGACAGAAATTGAATCAATTCTCGATTCATCTCAATCCTCTGATTCGCAAGGGCATGAGTTTTCAAGTAGAATTTCTTTGAATTTCTACTGCCAAGATCTGTTCCCCTGAATAATCCATGGGTTCCATGGCGTGACATTTTCCTTTCGACAGTGCCCTACTGTTTCCTCCTGTCCTTGAGCCCATGTGAGGGGAGCACGTGGAGTCCTTTGCATCACGGGGAGTGGATGGGGAGATGCTGCTCCTCAGTGCGGAGTCAAACTGGGCGACTTGACAACCGCGAAAGCGGACCATCCCATGAAAATCAACATGGCTATGGGTCAATACCTATTAATACAATTTTTAGTGGGATGAACATCCATTTACCAGCTATTTTGGGGTTCACTAGGTACCAGGGTTTTGACCCATCCCCACATCATTCTCGCAATCTGAAATGGAATGACAGTTGAATGACATGAATTCTCATTTATCAGCCCTTTATCAAGACTTATGGATATCTAATGATATCTATATAATTTATCAATATATTTATCAGCCCTTTATCAAGACTTATGGATATCTATATATATATACATATGGGTATGGATCAATACCTATTTTCATACCATTTTTAGTGGCTTATTCACATCCATAAATCCCAGCTATGACTTGATGTGAACAAAAAAGGGGTACTATTGGTTTTGACACACTGCCATATCTCTATCTATAATGATACCCCTGGAACGATGGAAAATCTACGGTTAACGAAAGCTGGTGGTTTCTGAATCAGGACCTTGGGATGTTAACATGGCCATGGCTATGGATCCATACCTATAGATACCATTTTTAATGGACATCCATTTACCAGCTATGTTGGGGTTCACTAGCTACCAGGGTTTTGACACATCCCCACATGGCCCCATGTTCTTGGATGTTCTTGGGGATTTCAACATCAAACAAAAACTGTCGCATTTCCCTCCAAGGCCAATGTTTTGTTCACATTTCCAATGACATTTCCGATGACATGTCTCAGGCTGAACTTGGTGTACTGGATCTTGCCCAGCAAAGAGTCCTGGACTCGGCCGTGGAGCCGTTGAGGCGTCCGAAGAATCCCATGAATTCCTGAATTCTGTTCCAATATGTTCCAATCATCATTTATCTACACTCATCATATTCATATTCCAATAATTGGTAGTGATACTAATTAATATTAATATTCATATTCATATTCCAATTAATATTCATTTATCATACTCATCATATCTAAACTCAATTGATCTCAGGTAGTGATTCTTCTCATTCCAATCTTTCCAGTGTGGCTCGGAGGTGCTTCCACCATGGCGCTGTGGAGACCAGCATGGCGCTACACGCCATTGAAGGCCCAGTGGCCGGACAGATCTTTTTTGTTGGCGCTGGGGTCCCTTGGTCGCATCGCTGGGTCAAATTTGATGGGAAGATTTTACTGGAAACCCTTGGAAACCTCCGAAATTTGCGAGTAAAAACCATGGTTTCCTATGGATTTTCCCTATCCACTGAATGAGACTCAAGCAGAACAGACTGAACTGTGTCCTTGCTTGTATCGGAATCGCTGAGATGTTTGCAGCAATACGCCAGCCTAATGTGCGCAAGCATCGATTTTATTAATTAAATGGTGCAATAATGGTACCGCAAGTAACCCTGCCGGTCAAGTCATTCCATATGTGATGAGGTGTCTGGCGGCCGACACAACGCATCAAATGGCATCGTGCTCTCAGAGAACTATGTGCGGCTCGGTTGCGTTGACAGCACCGGACAATACAATTGATGTCGTATGTGGTAGACATTCGTGGCTTGTCTCTCTGTCGTATGGTTCCAAATCATTCCAAAACTAGAGGCAAAATTCCTGGTGTGTTGGTTCTGTTCAGTAGTCATTACCGATCAGAGCTTGGAAAATCGCCGAAACAAGAACGGATAAGAACGGCCAGCAAAAATATACAATAAACATATAGTATCATAGTGTGGTAAACCCAATAATACATCACCCCAATCTTACCATAAATGCATTGCAAAAACCATCCCCAAATGCTAGGCAGCCTTCATTGGATCCATCGCAGTTGAGGTCAAGACGGCACTTTCAGATTCTCCGAGATCGAGTGGGTCAATACTTGCTGCATGATGTGGGAAGCACCACTGGGACCTTTTTGATGATAAGGGAAGAACTGGCCTTGGAGGATCAAATGATCATCCAGCCCTTTGGCTTTGCAGTTTCTGTACGGATTCGCCAGTCAAAATAAAAACCACAGGTGAGCTGCCCTGAGGCTTGGCACAACCGAGATCACTGTCCATATCGAGGGTAGCAGATGCACCTTGGTGGTTACAGAAGGCCCTGACAAGGCTGGGAGCTTTCGACAGGAAGGGAAATCCCATGAAATTTGCGGGGAAAGCTGCATGCGTGTCCGAACATGGGTAATACATGGTAATCCCCCTCATTGTTGGCAATTTTAATAGGGAACATACTGGAATTTCATATATTTCATGGGAAAATGATGATTCGCGAGCAGATTTAGGGGTAACTACTCTGTCGGCGGACAAACCCACATATTCAAGGTTTCACCGGAGAACAGCCAGGACATTTCGGCAGTGGTGCCACCAGTGGGAGTCTTCATCGGAAGAGAGGCACAGCGCCTTCGTTGCTTGTGATGTCTTGTGATGTTCTCTTGGTGTCCACAAGTTGCCTGAAAGTCCGGTGGGATCTCTGGGTTCAGCGCTCCCATCTCGCATCACTCGCATCATCTCGCCACATTCCATCATGGATCATGGATCATCACGGATCATCATGGATCATCATGGATCATGGTCAGGGTGGCAACGGGCTCTGTATTCGAGATCCGCAGATCTCTTCCTTTCACTGCGAAGCCAAGCTCTCAGCAGCTGAAGTCATGTGAAGTCATGTGAAGTCATGTGCACGCAATGAAAGCCCCAAAATCTTCATGAGATTTCATGAGATGTCATGAGATGTTATGAGTCTCCGCCATCTCGAGAAAGATGGGCAATTCGTAGCACCTTTGTCGCAGCGCTGGGGATCAAACACTGCAAAGATGGCTGAATTTTGGCAGGTCCGACCATCTCGAGACGGCTTCCTGCTGGATGACAAGTAACTTGCAAAATATTTATGAGTTGGATATCTTTGTGAGTGGGTAGCTGTATCATGCTGTAAAACTATATATATATATATTTATATATATATATTTATATATATATATATTATAGATATATGTTTGATACTATTTGTCGGCAGGCTTACGGAAACTTGTTTTTGGGAGCTACTGTGCGCCAACCGGTTTCTACCTGCAAAAGGCACTTGCCCAGTAAGCTCCACTTTGAGTCACCGTCCAACATATCAATTGAGGCGTGCTACATCATGGCCATGGACGGAGTGTCACGTTCTTCTTAAATACAGCACACACACACACGGATATATATATATATATAGATGTATATATATATATATAATGTATGTATATTACACACATATATATATAATATATGTAATACACACACATATATATATACACACGCAATTTTATATAATATATAGCATATAGATATCATTTTTAGATACTATGTGACTATACTTTGGCATATGATACATATTGTCAGGTTTCAGGCACTTGTCAGGCACTACGTATCATTTCCCACATGCCCAGGGCCTCTCTAAACCAGGTATTCTACGAATCGAACCTGGCTGCGGTTGGCACCTGACGGTCAGCCTTCCAAGCGATACCTGCTTCGCATCGGCGACCTCTTCAAAGTCGGTTCGACGTTGTTCCATGTGGCTTTGGCAGAAACTCTGAAGCTTGTGGATTCCACCTGGATTCCAGCATTTTTGTGATACATGTTCATACATTTTTCAGATTTGCAGGTGAAACAACCCCAAACTGCGACTCTAAGGTAGTGGAACCCGCAGCAGCAGCCGCTCACCTCTTAATTATCTTAATTCCAGTTCAGAATGGCTTGAACATGACAAACACACACGCACACACACATGCACACACACACACATGTCGCAAATATCTTATCACATGATAGACTTGAAAGCCAAGCTTATGTTGCCAATCGGAGGTCGATTTCGGTGTGCACAAACTGTCGCTGTTTACAGCAGTGATCCTCCTGTTTTTTTGGATGTAGGAAGCACGCAGCAAACAGTCTTGTCTTAAACTTACATTTGGAACTGTTGAATGTTGGGGGGAATGTTGGGGGCATGAAGATACACTGTTCTGTACTGCAGTACTGTGACAGTGTAAGTCATTTGCTTTGCATTTTTGTGCAGGAGCCAGAAGTCCTGCGCTTGGACCACACACATTTTCCCGGCTCGCCGGAATCGGAGTTGGAGGAGCCGGACTTCAGTCCCTCGGACGACTCGTTTTGTTTTTTTTTGCGCACGGCATGGCCTTGGAACATCTTGGGAGATCTCAGGTGATCCTGAGTTGCCCGGGGAGATGGTTCCATCTACGGTGAGACTGGGAGATGGAGATGGGAGAAAAGGGGGGCCATGGAAATGGCAATGGCGAGATGTTGGTTCTGGAATGTTCTGGAGGACCCTAAGATTCCATAAGATTCCTAATAGATTCCTAGGATTTCCGGTGAGGAATCCATTTCTGGAAGGATTTTGATGGAAGATCCATGGAAGATCCATGGAAGATCCATGGTTCATCCGGCCGAGCTGCGAGGCCTCTCAGCTGCGCTGGGAACCTTTCTTGGAGACAGATGCGAGGCCGCGCCTGCGAATTTGCTTCGAACTGTACTGACTGTGTAAATGGATGAATAAATGGATATATAATGTATATATAATGGATATAAAGGGATTGTTCAGTCTGTTAATGATTGTTCATGGGCCAGAAGCTGGTGTCAGAATTGCTTGAACTTCCCAACGTGCTCCATTTACTTGATGCCATGCTTGACCCCAACATGCCAGAGAAACAACCTGAAAAGCATTGAAAGCAAGTTCCAAATGAATCCAAATGAATTCTCACATGTTTCTACCAAACTTCTGATTGTAATGACTAATTAAATCACAGCGAATTGAAACATTGCTGAGCTGGTGGCAAAACAGTCAGTGAATCTCAAGTCTCAACAGCCTTCTCTTTCCTCCAAAGCTCTTTGAAGTCACCTGGATTTTTGAGCATTGGCATTCCTGCGTTTGATGGTCTGGAAGTTGCAATTTCCAAGAGTTAATCATGGACCACCGAACGTCTCTGAACTGCCAAGGCCAATCATGCCTGCAGATGAATATGCTCGTCGTTTGACCGAGTCGCGAAGCCGGATGGTGGAAGGTCGAGCCACGCAAAGCGTGATTTCATGAGGAAAAGATGGAAAAAGGATGGAAAAGGGGAAAGTGTTCTGATTTCATGGTTCATTCAGCATTCTGAACTGCTTCTGAACTGCGGCACAGTTTTCGCTGATGCAATCGCGCCGCTTGGATCGTCAGGCTCCGCTAGACGGGTGGCTGGCACCGGCAATGAGTTGCAGGGCAGCCAGGACGGCGGGACATCAGATCATGAAAGATCATGAATGATCAATGATCATGAAAGATCATGATGTTGATGATTCATTGATAATGTTGAAAGTCGCCAGTGGGTGCCTTGACGGCAGGATGCCATGTTTGCTGAAAGGGAGCTCTCTTCCTTGCAGCAAAGAATGCGGAATTCAAGAGCACAAACTGCCTACACGATGCAGCACAACCGTCAAAGCGGGGACAAGCTGGGAGGGGGTGCCAGGGATAAGATGGGATAAGAATAGCAGATGACTCTGAGATCAGGATTGTGGATACTGGTTTTAGAGAGCCAAGATTTGATTTGCCTACCGAACTTTCCCCCTGTGGACCCCACGGACAGCAAAGTCACAGGTGAACGGCGAGATGAAGATCTATGCAAGATCTGCTACGACAATGCTCCTTGGATGCCATTGCCATCTCTTTTGTTTCGGAAATCCGCTTGATTTGTTGGTGGAACAAATATAATATAATATATCAATACTTTATAATACCCCTCCGTATCGCAGGCCACGGTGTTCTGACGTGGTTTGACAAGCCGTGTGATCATCTGGCCTCAGGACATCGACGTGGTTCTCTATCCATGTGGGCATTTCATGCTTTGCAGATGGTGCGCCCAGATGGTCTCGGACTGCCCAGTATGTCGTTTGGTCATCACAGATGTGATCCGCACGTACAAGGTGGGAATTGGCAAAGATCATGAGCCGAGGGAACTATATTTACCTGTAATGACTGTGCAGGGACATGACTTTGTGACAGCTGATGACATTTGATGACCTCCAACCTGATTGATTCATGTTGTTATTGTTCCTATGATTCTTCTTGCATATTCTTGTCATTATTGTCATTGATTTCCTTGTCATTATTGCGAGCATTGCAGCAAAATTTCATGTTCCCTGTGGGCATCGTGGATCAGGCGTGATTGGCAAAGCCGTGGAGATTTGATATGGCTGAACGATGCCAAAGCACACGGAAAACCATGGGAGAAACGGAGCAAGACCCTAACAGAACACAGAAGGTTGAAGGGACTCAATGAAGATAGGGAGGCACAGCTTGATGTGATTAAGAAATCCTATCCCAACTTGATCCAACTTGTATTAAAAGTGCTCAGCCTATGGCAGTATGTGGCAGCTGCTACATGCTGCTACGCTATGTATTTTGAGGTCTGAAATTGTCACACTGAATCTCCACGGAATAGATCCACAAAGGGTCCGTTTCCGACCCTGTCATGTGCGCACCCCACTCTCTTGGTGATGGGCATGCCAAAAAGCTCCAATGCCAAGGTGGTTTGGAGGAATGAAGAGGGTAGCGCCAAATCAACATGTCGCAAAACGGTATGCAAGTGGGGTTGGATGCGTCAGCATGGTGGAACGGGACATTGGTTATATAATTATATATTGGAAAAGAGTGCCACATGGCCACATGGACGGGGTCCTTGAAGACTAATGTGATTCAATTTGCCACGGGCGCCAGGAACAAGTCCGGCAACTTCGAGGTTTCCAGGAGGCCTTTCCACATAGCTCTGATCAGAACTGGCAGCGGGAGGTGTGGCCTTCAAAGCTTCCGTTTGCAATGGGTGTTCTAGGAACGCTTCGATCAGGTTTTGAAAGCACTAAATCAGCAAGCTGGGGAGCTGGAGGCTGCCGGGCAAGTGTGGAAGACAGTCAAATGTGTGTACTTTCAGATACCATCTGGCTATTTAACATAGCCATGGAAAATCCACCCCTTTTTCATCGGTAAACCATCTATTTCTATGGGCCATCTATACCGTGGCTATGTTAAATAATTAACCAGATAGTACTTTCCATTTCAGCAGATTTCCAACGCCAGTTTTCAGCGACAGCATGTGCCCAGGCCATCAGTGAGAAGGCTGGGTGGTTGGATGTGGCCTCCCAGTAAGCCTTTTTCAGTCTGGGAAGACAAATGCCGCGCTTAAAGGATCTCAAAGGATCTCAAATCCAGGTGAGGAACATTTGGTGGGCACCATTCGGGCATTCCTTCTGCCAAACGAGGAAGCAATGGACTTGAGCCGCGTCAAGCTGCCAGAGAAGGCACTGGCACTGCGCAGAGGTAGAATTCGTGGATTCAATGTTTAAAGGGCACAGATTTGATGCTGAGATGGGGAAAAATGATGAAACATGAGCTTCAGTCAGTTATTCACATATATTATAGCATGTTATACTGAATCATTTGCTTCATGCCTTGTTTGGTTGAGACAAGCAGACAACTCTTGCACATTTCCCAGTGCCGCATAGCAGATTCATGCACAGCGGTCAGTCAGCCATTGTCCATACGCAGACTTGCATCTATTTCGATCTATTTTGGTCTAGATTACCAAAGCAAGAGAGACAATTCACAGGTGAGACACAGGTTTGATTTTCACATTTTGCTGGTTGCTGCCGTCACGGTCTTGCATGAGGCACTTCCCTTAGCTCCTTGCATGAGTCACTCTCTGGATTTATGGATTTTTGCGGGATATTCCCCCCTATGAACCAAGGCCCACCCCGCCTTCCCGGACATAGGCACACGTTTTTCTGAAGCCGCGCAGGTGAAGGTTGATCTGGTTTTGGCTTTTCTTTCCGCGCTCCTGGAACGGCGACATTCGTGTTTGTCAAGGTGCAGATGGGTGGGGTGGGATTCATCTCTTGCTGAGCAGTTCCACCCTGGGTCTTGTAGCAGCATCTGCAGGCTTCCAGAAGGTGTACTGCCCGCAGAGGAGTCCGATGCAGATGTTAAGGAAGGCGGGGAACACGTGGACACAAAATGAAAGAAAGGGCCCAGGTATACCATGGGATCCATGGGTATACCTATATCCGTTGCTTTCAAGCTTGATGTTCACCATGTGCAGTTTTGTCACAGCCACAGCTTGCAGCCATTTCTTTTCTAAGTGACATTTGGATTCCCAAAGTGGCTTCCATTTTGAAATCCGATCGTTTGTTGCAGATCAGGCCATCCAAAGCCCTGAGCCATGCATGGACCCACTGCCTGGATGGGCAGAATTCAGCCAAGAATCTGTGCAATGGTTGCGTTGTGCTGGGATCAGTGTTCTTGGGGTTTCAGCTGCTGCGCTGGGAAGGTGTTGGGAGGGCAATCCCTTGGGAGCCGCCAACGATTTCTTCTCGGTCTTCTTTGGACTGGGTTTGTTTCAAGACGATCTTTGGCAACTCTTGGGTGGCTGTGGCGACGAAGAGGAACTGTGCACCATCTCAGCCCGAGGCTCCAATTGCTTGGTACCATTTGGTCTTCTGTCCATCATCAATGCCCTTTTCGATACCATGACGGTTTCGGTGGTCTGTGTCGACTGCTTCGTTTCGGTGCAACAAGCGCTCTCCACACTTTGCAGCGGTTGCTTCTTCGCCTTTGGCGCAGCCATTTTTCAGGCATGCGCTGCCTTTATTGCGTGGCAGATATACCGCGGACGTCCACAAAATGCAGGATACAGCTTGGTACCTGGTGCAATGGAGATCCCAATGGACGAACGTGCTTTGGGCCGAGGCCTCGGACAGTCCTGGTCGACATGAACGAAGCATTGAGCGAAAAGGCAGTGCTCGATAAGCAGCGTGAAGTATTGCATTTTCATCCTTTTCTAATCATTTTTCCATCCTTTCATCCTCATTCTTTTTTCATCCTTTTCAATTTTTCCCGTCCTTTTCATCCTTTTGGACCCTTTTCCATCTAATTTTCATTTGTTTTTCAATTTTTCCAATTTTTTGTCATTTTTTCCTTTGGGCTGCTGCTATACTTTCACACTGCAATTCGATACGCTTTGCTTCCTTTCATCGGAGCCTCATGTAAAATGTAAGATGCGTGGGAGCCAGCTGCAGCACCATACCACATGTCATACTTGAATGATCTCTGCCAGTTTCTATCACACATCTATGGAATATCCCTCTCCCCATGCCACACTTGCATTTCAGCATGTGTTACTTCCCTGATGTACCCAAGACGAGAGGCCGAAACACCTGGACTTGTCTTATATCTTCCATTTCAGGCACTGCAACCTCCAAAGTCAAGGCGGCTTTGGATGGTTGCTTGGCACTGGGAGAGGATAGAAAGTAAGCGCAACTTGCTGATGGATTTGATGGTGGCTAGAGGATGTGATTGTGATGTTGTGCTGCAGATACCAAGGTCATGTGCAAAAATCCTTTGTCGGTCTGGTCACGGCCTCAGCTGTGGAGAAATGCAGGGCACTGAAGGATCTGAAAGCCACCGAGGTGAAACTTTTGAAGTTCGACCCGAAGAGAGAGCCAAAAGTATGTGAATTGGCACAGAGCTACCTGAAGGCAGGGAACCTTTTCTAGCCAGAAAGGGCTGACAAAACAGCATCAGTGAGGGGAAATTTGACATGAACTTCATCTAACAGTAACAACCTTTGGACCATTTCCACGGGCATGTTTGCTGCATGTAGCTTTTCAACCATCGTACCCGCAGTGCGGCCTTTTTTTGCCACAAAGTCGGACTGTGCATCGCCCGCCGTTTCGGCACAAAGATAATTGACATTGCTATTCAATTCACAGATTGAGTTCCGGCATTGGCAATGGCTACCGAAGCAGTTCTCACCTCAGCATCCTCAGCGCTTGTTGATGACCTGCCATTGTTGACACAGCAGAACCATGACCGTTTTCCAAGGAGAGTGGCGGTGCTGGCAGGACAGCCTTGGACGAAACAGATGTGAAGGGCGCCTTCAAGCGCGTCAACTCGGTGTGGCGGAACCATATTGAGGAGGGAGGCGAATTTAGCCCTGCTTCTGGCCGCAACTTGGCAATTGTAGAGGTGAGATATGGATAGATATGGTGAGATATTGAGATGCGAAAGAACACAAACATCATCAAAATTCATCAAATAATCAGGGACATTGACATGTTATGACCCTTCGGATCTTCCACTCAGATTTCGAGGCATTTTATACCCAGGTTATCACCTCTACGTCGCGCTTGCTTGCCCATGGGCTGATGGAGCCCTTGCCGCCCTGTTCATGAGACGCGGCTTAACGGTTCAGCATGGTTAAGCCGTAATTAGGTGGCACTGCCCACTTGCTAGGCTCATGGGATTTCATGATTACATACTATACTGTATATCCTTCACCCTTGCGGACTCACACCAAAAGATACAAAAAGACACAAAAAGTATCAACAAATTTGTCAAACAGCGCTTTGTGTGAACCTCGCCTGCGCGACACTTTACCATCATGCTGTGCAAAGTGGAACGTTGCCTTGGACCATTCAAGAACTTGCGGAAGCGCCCAGAGAGCCCAGAATCGGATGATAGGAACATGTTCAGGAACTGTCATTTGGGAGGTTAATTTCGGCTAAGATCATGGTTTCCAGTAGATTTTCCATCGATTTTCCCAGGTTTTTCCAATCCAATTCCCTTGATCCCAAGGAAAGGACTGGAGGATTGCATCGGTTACAGCATCGTCCACCCGACCTGGCAGAGAAGTCGCCCCAAGGATCCAGCAGATCAGCACCATGGCTGGATATTTTGCAAACCCGGTGACCCACCGTTGTCCAATGGGCTGGGCCACTTGGCAGATGAAATTTCGGAGAGATGAAGGAAGATTTCAACAGAATCTCCACAATATTTTCTCACAAGGACCTGTACAAGTTGAGTTTGGTTGTGAAACGAATTCAGCTATGCCGAGAATATACGGGCATGATGATGATTCCGTGTGGCAGGTGCAGCACTTTGGATGCCCCGGGCTCATTTTTCGTGGCAGGTGCAGTATGTTGTAGACATCGACAAAAAAGTCGCTGGGACCTAAGTAAGACATAGGTTTTCACATGTTCAATGCTCATTTTGCGTGGTGCGCCCAATGTTGTGTGAAAATCTAACAAGTGCCCGCGCAACCCTCTCGTGACTTTGTGTGTGTCAGATCGCTCTCGTTGTGGCGCAGGGTGAGTTGAGATATCGCTCGCGCAACCCTCTCTGCACTTTGTACGTGTCGGATCACTCTCGCAGTGGCGCTGTGCTGATTTTAGCTGCTTAGCCACGCACATCTCATGTCTAAGACCCAGCTGGGCGAATTCGACTTGTTCCCAAACTGCCACATAGTATTTCAATGTAATTATTTCGTGGTGTACAGTTACTGTACACCATGAAATACTATTGAAATACTATTGAAACGCCATTAATTTTGATTTTGGTGATTGGATTCCCCAACATCATTCCCATCGGCACCCGCTAGAGGGCCACCATGATCTCCGGCTGCCCCAGGATGCTGGCCTCGAACCCTAGGGCCCCAGGGCTGGGATGAATCCCTATGTTAAAAAAAAAGGAAATAACATGAAACAACCGTGATAAAACCAGATAAAACCATGGTAGACATGGAAATCATGGAATAAAGTTGTTTCCATCTATATTTGTTAGATGAAGATCTTGGATATGCTGAAGAGCATCAAACAAATAAGAAATAGCCCCAGTAGGTTCCCCAAATGGTGGATTAACCAATGGAAAAGTAAAAGATCCGAGTGTTTTCCGGTCGGCAATTAAGACCACGGGGTAGCAGTGGAACTTCCCAGGATCCCAGGACTTTGGAAAAAACCCTCAGCGTCCGCAGCGTCGGTGGTCTGAAACTTTGTTGAGGACCATCATCCTAAGCAGGAATGGAAGATGTAGTTTGTTCGAAACATTTTGAAAACAGTTCGAAAACAGCACGCAGAATAGAGCCGGCCTGACATGAATGCAGAAACATGTTCTGTGCTCCGCATGTTGGGATCTTGCAATCCTCCGCAGGTTTCCGATGAACTCTGCTCTGTACCCCGCTCGACGTAAACATATGTAACATAACATACATAACATGTCTCACAAAACGACGTTTTAGACCGTCCCGGATGTCCTACGTCTGCCTCAAGAAATGGACATAGCACAAAAAACGAGCACCGCACGCTAGTAAAACGACACCTTCGGAAAGCAGCAAAACGGGACAACTGTTTTGTGCGAGCCTGCGCAGTCGAAATGCACATGGACATCTCACAAGGGAACTTTTGTGCGAGAATTTTACAGTGAAAAAACCGGACCACAGAACGTACCCTGATCTAACCCCCGCCCTTTAGCTCCTACCCGTAAGAACCCCTCAGTGTGGGCTCACTGTTTCGGGAAGAACGGCGCAGCAAGCAATGGTTCATGATGTTTTCCACCATCAAAGTTCAAAGTATATAAAACTGATTCACACTATCTGAAAACCGTGGCTCAGATCTCACCCTTTGTCGCCCCGAAGGTTTTGGCACTTTCGAGTGCGATGATGCCCTGGTGCCAGACACCGTGAACGGCGCCAAGTTTATTCGAGACATCTATGAGAAGGCGATCTTTAAACGGTCATAACATGGGCGTTTCTATACCAACACCGAAGAATCATAAGAATCCAAAGCGGCAATTCTAAAGGAAGGCGGCCTATTGACATGCCAGCGCGAATCACGTGAGAGTAAGCAGTGTTTCTCCCGTGTCGTTGCTCCCCTTGCCAATAAAAATTGTTGGCTCACTTCTGAGGCTGGAGACACTGGGGGCAAGTATTCAACACCTGTATTGTGGGACAAGGAGAAGAATACCATTGTGAACAATGAATCGATGGACATTCTAAGTGGCTTGTTTACCGGCGCGGAATGGGGAGAAACAGCATGCCACAACAACTGCAGAGGTTTTGCGCAAAGATCTTGTGCAGAGCTTGACAAGCTTGACAAGCTTGACAGTTCTGCTGTTTTCCAGTTGTTGTGGGGTCGTGGGCCAAGTCGATGCATCAAGCCATGTCGAGCTGCTCTGAGGAATGTTCAACAGCAAGTTTAACAAGTGGGCCAAGAATCCTGATCTGGACTTATTCCCTGCTGACTTGGAAGCTGAAGCCGAAGCTGCCAATTCCTGGATCTACCCAAATATCAACAACGGAGTTTACAGGTGGCACTTTGCTTTTTGTTTCTAATTCATTCTAATTCAATTCCTTTAACTTCGCATGCTTCCTCAATTGGATAATCATCCAATATGATGTTGTTGGCATCATCTTTCTGGTTGTTCATGGTGCGTTTATGATTCTGATATTGATATGATATGAACGGAAGTAAGAGCCGAGCGCAGGTGTGGCTTTGCAAAGAGCCAGGAAGCCTACGACCAAGCCGTCAAGGATTGTCCACTGATCCGACGTGTATAGTCTTTACAGCCGGTCTCGCGTTGGATACACATACCATATCATGCATTTATAGATTTATAGCACACATATACGTATATATATATTTCATGTAACTATATGAATGTAATACATTGTAATACCACATTAATACCACATAATCAGATCATCTACATATTACATATGATTCATATGATCATATATGATCATATATGTACGTGCATCTTTTATGACGCACACACACACATCATGCACTTGAGCTGAACTTCGCCCCAGGACCTGGGAGATGCCTTGGCCAAAGCGGAGGCGCTCCTGGAAAAGCAGCGCTACGTTTGCAAGCGATTCAGCTATATGGACCCACATGTTGAATCCCTGGTGGGACAAAAAATCAGGTTGAAACAGTTGAAACATGTTGAAACCTTCAACATCCTTCAACCAATTGGGTGAAATACCATGGTTTCTGGTAAAATTTAACATACACCTTAATTTACACCGAACCACCGAGCATCACCGAGCCATGGTGAAATCTGGCACTGAGCTACCATATGCTACCATCCATGTTTGGGTAGTATAGTATATATATAGACGTGTCCAGACCAATAATAAACCCTTCAAACTTTCGGAATTTCCTTTGGAATTCATATCATTTCAATTCATTTCATATCTCCGACATTCTCCGATGAAGGACCTGAGACTCTTCATGACCTTAGTGCGTTTCGATGCCGTGTACGTGGTGTACTTCAAGACCAATGTGGGCACCATCGAGATGAATTATCCAAATTTGTTGGAGTACTGTAAGGACATCTACCAGTTCCCAGGCATGGCCAAGGCGAGGCTGCTAAAAATTGCCACTCCAATAGGGAATTTCATGGATATATAAAGGGATATATAGGGAATGGTGGTGATTCGCCAGGCTTAGGGGTGCCATGGTGCCTGATTTTCACTGATTTTCAGACAGCTCCTAGTGTCACATGAACATCATGAACAGATGCGAGCTCCGGATTTGAATGACTTTGAATGGTTGCCGATCTTTTGTGAGGCGATCAACATGCGGCACATCAAAATGCACTACTTCACATCACACCCGGATCTCAACAAGTTCGCAGTGATCCCCCGTGGCCGAGATGTGGACTACGCAGCTGATCACAAGCGAGCAAAGCTTTCGGCTTAGCAAAGCTAAGCAGAGAGCACACTGCAGATGACTTGAAAATCTTGAAACATGACATTGCTTTTGAACTTTGCAATGTCGAACATATCTATTTTGACCTGTCTTGGTCAGTGATTGCAGATATTGCATGATATTGCAGGAAGCATGCCAAGAATTGCAACAAAATGTCCATTGGTATCTATTAGTATCTATTAGTAGTCTATTAGTAATCTATTAGTAGTCTATTAGTAGTCTATTAGTAGTCTATTAGTCATCGGTCAAATTCTAGATGCTTCATGCTTCCAAGCTGGCCATTTTGCATCATGCTGGGAAGCCTTGGATACATGATGGGCTTCCTGGCGATTGCATCCTGAGACATTCAGTCTCTCCTGGCGTCAGTGTTCGCAGCTTGCGATCGTTGCCAAAAAAGACTGAAGAGAGATCCATGGCACTCGCACCATCCTTGCTCTCCTATTCGTATTGATGTGTATGTATATAATATTATGTTATGTTATAATAGATATTTTATATGGATTATATTATATTATATCACGAAAGGTAGCTCCAGAGGGGCTACCTTGAGTTTTACTTTACGAAGTAAAGGGGAGGGCGGCCAGCCCCGTTACCTGATTCTTCAGGAGATTGCTAGTCATTTTAGTACCCCCCCCCCTCCACACCTCCCACGCACCCTAAGAGCAGACTCAAAACATTGTAATTTACAGTATTTTTGTTCTTTTCGGATCAAGAAACCACATTTTGCTACATGGTGAAACCTCCGTAAATACCAGTGTTTTTGCCAGGTGCTGGCCAAAAAACACTGTAAATACCGTGCTTTTTACTACCAGAGGCAAAAAACATCGTAAATACCGTGGTTTTGGGCTTCCGACCCGCCAAAAACATTGGTATTTACGGTGTTTTTTGCTCCGAGAGTTGCAAAAACACGCGAAAACACCACCGATTTGACGATTTTCGGCCACTACGGAACCGAGCAAAAACGCTGCAGGGGTAACACCAACAACAACAACACCAACAGCAACAACAACAACGACGACAACAACAACAACAACAACAACAAACAACAAACAACAAACAACTAACAACTAACAATAACAACAACAACAACAACAACAACACAACAACACGCACACGCACAACGCACAACAACACACAACACAACAACACACAACAACAAACAACAACACACAACAACACACAACAACACACAACAACACACACAACACACCACACAACACAACAACACACAACAAACACACAACAACACACACACACACACACACAACACACCACAACACACAACAACACACAACAACACACAACAACACACAACAACACACACAACACACACACAACAACAACGACAATGACAACAATAACAACAACAACAACAACAACACAACAACACACAACAACACACAACAACACACAACAACACACACACAACAACACACACAACAAACAACAACACACAACAACACACAACAACACACAACAACACACAACAACACACAACACACACACACAACAACAACACACAACACACACACAACAACACACCAACACACACACACACAACACACACAACAACACACAACAACACACAACAACACACACACACAACACACAACAACACACGCAACACACAACAACAACACACAACAACACACAACAACACACAACAACACACACAACAACACAAACAACACACAACAACACACCACAACACACCACAACACACACAACAACACACAACAACACACAACAACACACAACAACACACAACAACACACAACAACACACAACAACACACAACAACACACAACACCACACAACAACACACAACAACACACAACAACACACAACAACACACAACAACACACAACAACACACAACAACACACAACAACACACAACAACACACAACAACACACAACAACACACAACAACACACAACAACACACAACAACAACAACAACACACAACAACACACAACAACACACAACAACACACAACAACACCAACACCATCAACAGCAGCAGCAGCAACAACAGCAACAACAACAGCAACAACAACAACAACAACAACAACACGAACACGAACAATACCAACACCAACAACACGACCAACAACACCAACACCACCAACACCACCAACAAACCCAACCACACCAACAACACTAACAACACTAACAACACTAACAACACCAGAAACACTACCACCATCAACAACAACAACACCAATACCAACAACACCAACAACACCAACACCACCAGCACCACCAACACCACCAACACCACCAACACCACAACCACCACCAACCCCAACCACATCGCCGAAGCCTTTCAGTCGCTTTTACCAGACTCCCCTTCATATTTTTGGAAAAAATGGCCGCGTCGCTTTTACCAGACTCCACTTTATGTATTTTCCCCTCCCCTCTCCCCTTCATGTTTTCTTCGGTTCCTTTCTTGCTTACCTACCTTTCGTGTTCCCCCTCACAAGTTATTATTATTGTTATTATTATTATTACTATTACTATTATATATATATCTCTTATATATTTAGGTTTATATATATATATATATAGATGTGCCCACTTAACACAGCCTCGTTTCTGCGGTGCAGGGTCCACGGCCTGGAGCTTGGGAACCGGCAATCTCGCAGCGTTTCTCGGTTTCTCGTCCGCCAACGTTGAGGTCGAGGTATCCCAAACTTGGTGACCTTTGCTCGGCTGCCAGGCCCTAAGTTTGAATCCTTGAATTACTGTGTATATATATATAATTATATATATAATTATAGTGAATTATAGATTACTAAAAAACTATCGTTTGTTTGTCTGTTTGTCTATCTTTCTATCTTATATATCTATCTGTCTAAAATGATTGGGAAAATCTTTCTGGAAAAGCCCTTGGTGCCATGGTCAAAAGTTTCAAAACCCTGGTGAACTCTGCAAGGTCCAGCAAGCCCTTGGCGAAGCTGCAGATGTGGGGTGGTCCACCAGTTGCAGTCTGCCCATCGGCCCGGAGGACACGCCGGACACGCCTTGGGTTTTTCGGTCCAAAATGGCGAAGAAACTGGCGATGAACCAGTGGGTTTTCAGTAAAGTGGGATTACTGTAAGCCTCTAAGTTTTGGTTCTGTTGTTTTATTTGGTTTGTCCTGCCACTCAGTTACATCCACTTTGCAAAGCCAACAGGCAAATTTTGTTTCAACCGATTTCACCATGACTCAGGGCAGTATTTGCACGATTTTGCAGTTTCACTGTTCGGGTATATCTGGATAGGTGACTTGGCACTGAACTTGCTGCTCATATTATGCTTCTTGTTGGGCTTGGACATGCCACCACGTTGATCTGATGACCTTCAGGATGTTGCTGTCCCACTCTTTTCCCGGTTACCGCTGTATAGTCAAGACCGGAACCCAGGTGTACGGCACAACGTCATGCATCAGTTTTCATGGCTGGAGTAGAAACTATTGCAGCAAAGTTGCAGAAGTTGACAAGGACGTGTTTTTGGGCCCAGTCTAGTAGTCCACATAGTGTATGGTTTGGCTGAAAATAGGGGTACCCCTAACACATTCATCATCATCTTCCGATATCTTCCGTACCAAGATTGCCACTTGGGAGTATAGCCAATTTTTTGAAACACCCATCAAATATAGCATAAGCATATTCAAAAATATTCACTGCGGCGCATGGTTCTTCCATGATTTTCATTCCCTTGACCATGACACAGCACTTCGGCCATCTTTAGGCCCTTTTTCTTTCGTTGGAGAAGGGTGTCGAAAGCCTCCAAACTGGGCAGCGTTGGTGCCCCGAGGAGCGTTGATGACACCAGAAATGGTGATGTTGAACTGTTGGGATAGCTTATTATTGGGTTTACCGTTTTACCACGTTGAAAAAAAAACACCATGGTGATTTGGATACCTGGTAAAACACATTTAAAAAACACATGATTATTTGGATAGCAAAGAGCATGATGATTGGGATTGACTTGGATGTTACCCGGGCTTAGACGCTTAGACATCAACTTGTTCCTTTTTTTCCGCTGTCCGAAGTGTTTTGGCAGGATGGTTGCCTGGCTTACGCCGATGACCATCTCAGCGCGTGGCCCCTGGAAACTGTTTCACTCCGTTTCGGTCCTCCCCGTTGTTCATCCCACGGCCCCTGATCCCGAAGGATCCTAAAGGTACCTAAAAGAGGTACTTAAAAATGATCTTAAACTTACTTATATATCATTACATTACATATTATCACTACTTATTCTCCAATTTCTACTTATTCTCCAATTTTCCCTGGAGTGTGACCTTGAAGGTCCTCTACAGAGAAGGGCAGCGAGATAAGGCTGGAACAGAATGAGGGCATCCTCTCAGCAGTAACGTACCGGATGTTCACATCGCAGGAGCATTCCAAAATCTTGATTTTTGTGTGCAAAAAAGACTCAGAATGCGAACTTTTGCATTGGAAGATATTGGAAGTATGTTTACTTGAATGATCATCCTGGATCCATGCCCATGCAGCCCATGCATGTCCATCGCAGAGATGGTGCCGCTCTGGTTTGGAAGGTGCTGCAGAAGCTCGGCCTCGCAGAGAAAGCGATGCTCGAGGATTGAAGGGCTTGAGCTGCTTGAGCAGAGGCGGTGATGTTTAAGTTTCGATATGTTGATTATGTTGCAGATAGGTTCACATATTTCACATTCAATATCATTCATGTGATTTATATAGTGTGGTAACCCGAGCAATAAAACCTAACACATCAGGACCAGCTGCGATCCATGGCTCCGTTGGCTCAGTCCCAGGTGCATCACAACGTTTTTCGTAGCTTGCAGAAACGTATTGAATGTTCACCAATATTCAGTATCATCTTTAGTTACATCTGATAAAACAGGTCCTAAAACCAGGTTTCTATAGATTACTATTCTTATACATGTTTAGTCTGCGTATGTCTGCGTGAAACGTTGAACGTTGCTTCAAATGCTTCTTGGTCTCAGGCGTTCAGCTCGACGGAGCAGTTGCCACGGACCTGGCTAATGTCCAGGGAGCTTTTGGCATTATTTCTTGGTGTTGGGGGCCCAGAGCGACTCAAACAGAATGAAAATGAAACATGCCGTGGTGCACCAGCAATTGCCAGTATAATCAGTATACCTTCCAAGATATGGCAGTTTAATGCATTTGAAGGTGTGTGATGTAAGAGGGAAGAGTATTCTACTGTACACCACTGCATTTTTGGGGTACCCTGTTCTCAGACCCAGACCGACACAGACATAGACCAACCCGAGTCTGTTTTGATACTTTGATACCTGCTAGCTGTTAGTTACATCCATCATCATCCATCAGTATAAATTGACAAAACATATATCTTAGAGGACACATGATACACATTTTAGGACACAGAGAAAGGCACACCCAGAAAAGTTTTCCAGTCTTGCAAGGCCGGCGCTGGCACATTTGATGCTCGCAGCCGTGCTCTCACCTGAGGGGCTGTCCGTCCTGCTGTCCTGCGATGGCGAGATGATTTTGGTTCCGAGGCGGCACTCTTTGAAATGCACCTCGAGCAGCACTGGGTAAGCTTGCCTGAGGCATCCTGAGGCATGGGGGTCTCTGAGATGTCTCTGAGGTTCACTGAATTTGGCATTCCTTCTCATTTGGTTGCGAGCTGGGGTGCTCAACAGGGAGCTGGACCAGATATTGAGAAGGCTCGGTCTGGAATTGTAGATGTATGTAGGTATCGTATGGTATCGTGGCGTGCCCATTGCTTAGGCTGGGAATCGGAGATTGGTGGTGCTCTGTTTGAAGCCCTCGAGGCGAGAAAAGCCTAGGCCTTCACCACACACTCTGCTGTGCTTCCAACAATCCTCCTGACCAGCGGATTTTGATTAGTTTATCATGGCTTATCAATCTCTTGCAGTATCTTCCAGTGATTCAGATTTATCAAGGTCGTTTGTGAAGATTGTGAAGTGTCACAGGTCTCCACGATTCTGGAAGACCAGAAAGCCTCTCGGGATAGCTGGAGGAAAGGGAAGGCAGGACCGCAAGAAGTATATATGTACTATAGTTGAACATTTTCCAACATGTTTTTTTCCCCCACAACCGCAGATGCTCAGCAATGTTTGTTCCCTTATTCTCCCACGAAAGATTTCAAAGCGAGTAGATCTTACGTCATGTAATCTCTTGACTCAAAGCAGGTTGATCTCGGTATCATCGGCTGCTGGAGAGACGCACGCACACTCGTATGACTCATGCAGCATGATCCACCCATGTTTCAGGGCACTGACCGCCATGAACCGTGCCCGCGCCATCTCTCAAGGTTGCGATGGCAGCTGCAGGTGGTGGCTTACTCATGGCTGTCACCGGTGGCCTTGCGGTCTGAGCCAGAGAGACACTGGTGACTGATGAAGTTTCTGATGAGCATGAAGTTTCTGGTGACACTGACACTGGCGATGATGGGTCAGAACCCCTCAATGGACTTCCTATGGTGTGATTGTGCTGAGGCCCCGCTGGTTGCGCCAGCGCTGGTTGCCGGGGTGCGCACTGGTATCACATTGGCAGCAAGTGCAAGAAACGTGCGAAGACTGGCGAAGACATATTGGGCGTTAGATTGAAATGGTGAGTATACCCGCAAAACTATGCACATGTCATAGAGAAAATATGGTGACAAACGAAGGGATTTCTGGGTACAAACCCAAATATCTTGATTATCTCGTGATATCTTGTGATATCTTGTGCCTGGTTCAAATGTGTTCACAGGCGTTACAAGAATGACACGAATTGAAGTGATGGGATGTTGATGATTTTTTTCCAGGCTGCGGCTGTGGGAACACAAGCAGCAGCTGTTGGTGCAGCTGTTGGTCCCTTGGCGTCGGGATGGGAGCCGAACTCTCCAAGATGGGGATTTATCCCCAAGATGGGTGAGAAATTCGTCTTGAACAGATTAAAATCATTTAACATCGACTTGTACATTGTTTTCTTTGTTTTCTTTCAGGTGGCATTCATCTTCAGTTTGGAGTGCGTGGCCAGTTGCCGACTATCATGTGCTTCGACAGGTTTGGCGCAAGCAGGGATGCTGGTTGGTGGTTTGGGCCTTGAGGACAATGTCGATGGCGCGTTTTGGGAGACCAATTCACGAGAGGATTACAGAAAAGATCAGAAAAGGTGACTTTAGATGTGAAAATAGAGCGAAAGCTGTGCAAAAATCACTCAGATCCAGAAAGTACTCGGTAAGTATTTGCCTTGAGGGCCAACAGGCTTATGATATGAATTCTGCTCCCATATCCTCTCCCATTCCGCAGCACGATGCTCGCTTCAGGTGCCATCACCGGAGTGGGTATCGGGCTGGGCGCCATCCTTTCATCCCTTGGCACGGCCGGTGCGGTTGCGCTATTTGGGGCAACAGGCTGGGTCTGGGTGACTGTTGTTTGAATATGTTTGAATATTTTCCCACATATTCCCAGTTTTTTGTTCTTTTTGTGCCCCACCACACCGAATTCCCAGCGCAATTGGAAGGTGCAGGCATGACAGGCTGGAAGATGTCACGACGTTGGGGCGACCTGGAGGAGCACCTACGGTGTTTGAGTGTGTTATGCAGAAAAGGATCAAGTGATCGAAGTGATAAGGGTTTGTCTGAAAATAGGGTATATATTCCCAATTATAGCCATTTAATAGGGATAATGATCAGCAAAACCATTGGGTTTAGGGGTACACTATTTTCAGACACACCCATAAGGAAGTTGCATTGAGACTGCGAATTTGTCAATGTCCAGAAGGTGCAAACCGTTGCAAACCTACACTTCCATCATTTTCCAAGTCTTGGACAGGAGTTTGACTTCCAGCCTTTGGAGAACGATAAGAGGTTGGTGAAGGAAACCATCCAGCTGGTGGACCCGGAAGCCATTGCGACCTTGGATGAAGCGACGCAGGCAGCTGAAACCATGGAAAACTGGATGGATTTTCCATGTTTTCCTATATATATATCATAGATCCTTATATACATTTATGGACGGTCTACATACATGCATGCATGCATATATGCATACATGCAAACATGCATATGTTATATGCATCCATCCATACATACCTACCTACCTTACTTGCTTGCTTACTTCCTCACTTGCATACATATACAATCACATACACATACACATACACAGACAGACCAACAGGCCGACCGACTGACAGACTGACGGACCGACCGACCGACCGACAGACATACAATACAATAGAACACAATACAATGCAATACAATATAGACCAGACCAGAGCAGACAGAGACCAGACAGAGACAGAGACAGAGACAGACAGACAGAGACAGACAGAGACAGAGACAGAGACAGAGACAGACAGACAGACAGAGACAGAGACTGAGACAGAGACAGGGACAGAGACAGGGACAGAGACAGACAGACAGAGAGACAGACACAGAGACAGAGAGACAGAGAGACAGTCAGAGAGATGTCAGAGAGACATACAGACATACGGACATACAGACACAGACACACACACACAATACATACACGCATGCATGCATGCCATGCCTTGCCTTGCCTTGCCATACCATTACATTACATACATTGTGAATGACCAGTAACTTGGATGAGGTGGTAACCCTCAACTATCGATGGATGTTGATGACATGTTGGTTCGTCCGTTGTGCACGACATGTTGCTTCATGTTGACAACATTGCTGTACCATGTGCTCGTACCAGGCCGGTTCGCTAAAAGAAGATGTTGGGGCCTTAGATTTTGCACATGTGCATCTCAATGCAGCTCACTTTTTGTGTGGATGTCTGGAGGTGTGTTTCCTGATGTCGGTTTGGACACCCAAATCGACCAATCTATTTTTCGGAAAAGATGCTTATTATTTTTATTATATATGCTGAATGTGGATTACCCAATCCCTTTGAATCTCAAACCAACACACCCGCTGACCAGCCTTCACACAAGGTGGATGCGCCAGTAGAAATTTATGGAAATACTGCATTATCTCAATTCAGTCAATTTTCGTCGGGTCAGCTGCAGCATTTGCGACTGCGATGTGAGGTTGCAGTACCTTTGGCTGCTGGTGGGCTGCATGCACTTCGGAAAGGCAGATGTTAAGATGTGCCATGGTCATCCATGGTCAAAACATGGGTTATTGTTCCATACGATATATTTTCCCACACAGATCACAAAGGGATGGTCCCATTGATAGGGATTCAATATACCCATTCCATTCAATCCCGGATGATAGTGACAGTGGATGACCATACCCAACATAATCATACATACCATGCTTTGACCATGGCACAGATGTTCGCGTCGCGTTTTTGAACCCATCCGAAAGGGTTCAAAGCCTGTCCAGTTTGGCAAATGCAGGCAGTGAGCTTGTTCGCAGGGCAACCCAGTTCCGATGTGTTCGAACACATCTGGATGGGTGGTGCGATCTTGAAGCTGCCCATAGCTGCTCTGTTTTTCAGGCCGACAAACCCTAGCTGGCCAGAACAGGCTGGGCTTGGGAGAGCATGGCAACCCATGGCAACACTTTCTCATACCTTCTGTCCTGCCAGATCAGATGAGAAACTCGCGGTGTGTTACGAATTCCAACATGCTGTGGATCAGGCAGGAATCAAGCTTGACGCGCAGCAAGTGTAGGATAGTTCCGAAATGTTCCGAACCTTGCAGTATTGCTTGAAAGCAGTGTGGGTATGAAAAGCACGGAGAACATGCTGCCCATCTTCACATGCTTAGGACCAGGATTTCGAAATATTTCGAGTTCTGATATGCAAGGAGAAGTGACTTATATGATCTTATATGTATATATATATATGTATTTACAGAATTTTGCAGACATATCTTATATAACTTATATATGGCTAGACTCTGCTGTTCCACGAAGGGCTTAAATGGTGTTGGTCCCGGTGGTCCTGGTCCATCCCGTCCATCCCGTCGATCCCGTCCTTCCCGGTGGTCCCAGGTGCAGCGCTCCGTTCACCTGGCGCTCTTCGTGTCCGGTTGGATCCGTGATGTGTCGGACTTCCGACAGCCTTGGCTCGAGGCGGCGAAGGCGATCCGACGGACACCTGGTGAAAAAAAGGGGCCATTTTGCTATAGCGATAGCCAGAACATGCCAGAACCATGCGCTTCTTATGGCTTGATTATGCTGTGACACTGTTAGTTATAGTTACTGATTATGCTTGATTATAGTTATTGATTGTTCGATGTTGGAGCAGGAAGCGCTCCTGCTCCTGCCGCACAGGTCTTTTTTCCACGAAGTGGTCATTTGGTGAGGTCCTGAAATGTCCTGAATATCTGGACTCGATGTGTTGAAATGTCATGTTTATGATATTTATTATGGAGAAGAGCAGGGACTATAGGGACTGATCATTGGCCATCATTGGCCCAGGCCTTGCAGTGGGAAACCCAAGAACTTCTCGATGTCAGTGCTGTGCCAGAACCTCAGCTGGGTTTTTAACATGTGTTAAACACACTCCTTGGGCTTCACTCCTTGGGCTTCGGTCTAGACATGTCTATAGAAGCTATGCATTACATTTTTGAGTCCAGACCAGGTTTGGCCAAATGATCACGCAAGAGCTTGCCTCAAGTACAGTAACTTGGCGAGAGATTTGGGCAAAGAGACTTTTCCACCATGGTTTGATCTCTGCAGATAAAACAGATTTTACCATAGCCATGAGACCTCGCAGCAGCTCTACGCAGATGTTGACCTAGCAAGACAAACTCGCCTAGGAATGCTTAAGATCTGAAGCAATTTCATTGATCAGTTTGCCAGGAGACCTTTCCCCAAGGACCCGACGGACCCCCCATGATTTTGCTAAGGCATCGTTTTGGCTGAAATCCACGGCTCTCTCCGGCGTTGCGGCAGCAGGTCCGTGTGGGGAGGAAGACCACCACAAAAGCTTTGCGAAGGGTCATTGAAGTACAGGTATAATGATATATGATATATGATATATGATATATACGAATATGTGTATATATATATGTATATATATATAGTTATTATACGTGTGTGTATGTATACATAATGATATACAATGATTCCGGGTTTTGAATGGTTTTGATTTTTGTTGGATGGTTTTGTGATGCCTTTGGGACATCTTGGGACCACTGCCTCATTATGTCTAATTCTTTTCCGTAGAGGATTTTGAATAGCATCCCTGCGCAGAAGCAAATCAACTTCGCATGCTCAAGCGATGTGTTCCCCCTGCCAACGCCACTTGCCTATAGGTCTGACATGTTGGGTTGGATCTTGTTCACGTTGCTTAGGGCTCCACGTCAACTCCAAAGGCTGTTGGCTCGAAATGAAGGGATCGCCGCAGTAGCCATCGCAATGGCCAAAGCGGCGCTAGAGGACTTGCGTCTTAGCAACATCCAGTCTTGAAGGAAGGGAGATGAATGCTATTTCATGATAAATGATGAGGGCTGTAGGATGGCTGAAGATTCCGGTGGGTTCTGCACTTCTGGAAATCCCTCTGGCAAGGTATGGCTTTGTGTATTCAGATGGGCTGCGACAAGGCCAAAATGCATGGCTTCAAAGGGGACGACCAAGATCAAAAAAGAGTTTACAACGAGGTCTTCGGGTACAATAATGGTCGGTTCTGTTCCATTTTGTTCCCATCAACTCACATCACCTGCGCTCCGCAGGTGTGCACATCACGGAGCAGCTTCGTGTCGACAGACTCTCCGGGAGATTTACATGGTCACGGGCGCGGCAGAACGAGGCCACGGCCCTGGTGGTTTCAGCTGGTTTCAGCTGTCCATGTCGTTTCCATGGCCATCTCAGATGACCCTTTTGGACTTGGGGATACCATGGGAGACCTGGGTTTTTTGGAGCCCAGGCAGCGAAGCTTCAGGGCAGCTCCTATTTGATATCTCAAGTGTGCGGGGTCCTGGCGCAGAGCTATGAGTTAGTTGACAACTCAAGAGACATGATGCAACATGACAATGGGATGGCTCTAAGATGACAATAGGATGACAATAGAACAACAATAGGATGACAACATGACTACTTAACTGCAGCTCCATATTTATGTCCATTGATTCCTAGGTCTAGCGTCCGTTTCACCACGCGGCTGGGAGACCCCAATTGCGAATTCTTGAGCGCACCCCGGCCGTGAGTTTTGGAGACGGCAGTTGCAGTACTGTTTCGGCTCAATTGGGATTAAAAGACGTCCAAGAAACAACGTAAGTCACGGGCAACTATGTTCCTTGAGAAGTACTTAGGTTCTTTACTTGTATAAATATTCCAACTCGGAAGGACCCCAAAATCTCATTTGACACGCAACAATTTCTGAGTTGTTTTTTGAGTTGACATCAGTTGATTTCTCAACTTCTTGTTGCTGTGCTCCCGGCTCCCGGTGGAGCCGTGGAGCCTAGGCTGCTCAGAAGCAAATCCACAAGCAACGGCAGCTTCGGAGCTGGCTGAAAAGTCACGCGCCAGTGATCCTGGGTTTGATCGTCACTTGGAGACCAATAGGATGGCTGTGTTATGGCTGCCTGGCTTGTGGCTTTTTTTAATTCCGGCCTACTACCGGGTGCGAAAAAAGACCACATGGCCAATTGATAGAGAAACTGATGATCAACATGGATAAACCATGAAATGCCAGAAATATTTGGAGCTTTTTGATCCCAAATATTCATATGATATGATGAGGGCCAGCTTAGATTTAACCTTTTTATTCCCATTTAGAGTTGGTGAGACATTTGCTCCTGGGAGCCCAGAGCGAGTTGAAGGAAGCAGAGACAAAGTTGAAATATTTGGGACATTTTTGGGACATTCTGGGACAAATCGGAGAGCTTACATGGTAACATGATGTAAATTGATGTAACATGCCCATCCCAGAATGGAAATATCGATAAACATCGTGCTTAGTCAGGGTCCTTGCAACTTGCAACCCTTGAAACTCTCATGATCCAGACCTCTCCTTGGAATCCCATGGAATCTCCAGGTCATGATCTTCAATGTCGTAACGCTGACATTGATCCTGGCGGCGTGTTTAGCGCATACGATGTGGTTGGTCTTCCCTCGGGCGCCGGGGCTGCACCACGCAGGGATGACCCATGGGCCCGTGAGATGTGAGACCCCATGATACCCCCTATGGGCCTATGGGTATGATACCCCTATGCAATCCCTATGATTCCCATGCAATACCTATGCCTACGCAAAAATCGTTGGTGCCTCGGATTTTGACGTGTACTTATAGTGGCTATATGTGGCGCTATAATCTTATCGAACAATCTGTTCCCCGGATTTTCACTTCGAGATAAAGATGATAAAGCCACTCGAGGGGACTGAGAGCCCATAAAAAATAGATGATTGATGCTGTGCGACAGAGAAATAGATGTGTGGATATTAATCATGTATATACATAGGCCGTACACACACACATATATATATACACATGTACAATCATATGCACATACTTTTACATTTTGTTGTAGGAAACTCGTTTAGAAATATGTTTGAGGTTGTCAACAACTCCGTCACTCCTTTGTCATAGTTGTTGATGCCTTGGCCTGCGAGTTCCGCGCAGGCCGGCGAGCACTTTGACATGTCTCAAGGCCTGCCCGGAATTTGTGCAGGGGCAGAGCATGGTACAGTAGAGCATGGTAGAGCATGGTGCAGCATGGTGCAGCCACATTACTGCTGGATTTTCACGGCATTGATATGAGGCCCAGACACAGAAGCATTGGGAGCTGCGTCCACCTTGTCTGTGCTCACAGCTTCTTGTTGGCGTTTCCATCAGTCCGGACGGGTCATGTTTCCGTTTTGTCACATTTAGAGGATGATTTGATATGATTTGCTGAACACACAGTTACTCACAGTTTACTTGGATCATCTTGGATCTGTCGGTTTGATGCAAGGGATTGCGTGCGTCTACGTACCACTCGAAGTACATTTGAATAGGTAGAACATGGTAGAACTCTCCCCCTGATCTCACATGTGAAGTGCGGAGAATATGTTGGTTTCATTACAGCACAAGACCCATTGACTCGTAGCAACCCAACACCTCTTCGGCCAACAAAGGCTTTGTGCGCAATAGTCACAGGCAAGGTCCGTTTGGTGCAATTTGCTTGCGGAGGCATCTCTGTTCGTTCCTACAATGTCCTCAAGCAATTTCTGCCCATATTGAGTGTTCAGACATGTTGTACCAATGGCTTGGAATTCATTTTCAGAATATAGGAGAAGAGGCGAGAGAGAGAGGAGAGAGAGAGCAAGGGGCGTGACTTTGACAAGGCCATCTACTACCAATTCCTAGATTCTGAGCCTTTGAGCTGGAGTAGCAGGATGGCAAATAGGAAGCACATAGAACATCTGGGTGAAACTGGGAAAATAAATGAACATAATATAATACATAATATATATAATATATATATATAATCTATATCATATAATGATATATATATATATAATATGTAATTCATATATATATGTTATAATTAATTACTTTATATATATATATATATATAAAATACCCACACTCACACTAAGTGATTGGCGTTTTCTATCATGAGTTTGGCGGGCTTGGGTTCTCAAATTTTAGAAGCGCTGCTTCTACTTTAGCTGGCACAGTCGTTGCTAGGCTGGTGGCTGGGCATTTTCCGATGTCGTTGCTGTGGCTTCAACGCCTTCCATATGGATTCACTGGGGGTGGCCGAACGGCTGAGCGACAAAATTGCAACTTGCCATGGGGAATGGTTTACGGGGATGGTTTATGGCATTGTTTTACCCACAAAAATTCTGAATTATAGCTCGTTACAGTTAATACACGTTCATTATGTCATGTTTCCTGTACACCTGAGTGTTGTGCAGCCACGTGTTTCAACATTCTCCACGATTTACATGATCTTACTGTATCATTGAAAGCTCAGGCCGCGAGATGTAGAATCCAGAGGCGGGATGCTTGAACGTACTTCCGCGGTTGATCAGAGAATCAATCACTGACAACATTGTACAACCTTCGATGATTGCACACATGTTGTCAAGTTGGCAGATTGGTTCTGGCTGTCGCAGGCCTATCACAGGGGCTGTGCTAGTTGTTTGCATAATGTGGTGCCTTTGCTGCCAAATGAGCTGCGTAGAGTGAGAAACCGTCTTAGAAGTGGCCCCTGTCTCTCAGCCTCTTCCATTGCAGGTGACGACCATCCTGTAGTTTTGTTCTGTTCAAGGTTTGATGTGAGTGGAAGAGCCAAACTTCCTGGTTTTGAGTTTGAATAATTATGCATATACTGGATTATAATTACTAGCAAGAATTCTGGTGATCCTAGGTGTTTTTTCCTGGTCATTTTATGAGACTTGGCTGCAGTGAGATGTTGCACTACAGTCACGGTGACCGTAGGTGACGACGAGTCGCTAGGCGGCATGTGGCATTCCCGAGGTCCAGTAGCATATGGCCTCAGCCGGAAGACGCTCTGCCACAGCCTCAAGAAGCTAATCTGCTAGTCCTGTCTCCAGCGTTTCCGTTCCCAAATTATCATAACTACCCTAAAGCCACCAACAGCAACTATAAATTTGGTTCAATGGATTGGCTTAAGGGAAACCATTGGATCTTCCCATCCCGAGGCTTTTAACCTATCTTTTCCTGCAAATGTTCCACATGACGAGGCGATTCCGGTAGCTGCACAGCCGACCCTGGCTCTCCCTTGTTGCCGACCTGTGGTGTGGGAAACTGCTCCTGTGGTGGTTTGGCCGATTTGTCGGGCCCTAAGGCTCTGGGACTTGAGGTGTGCACCCATCGCAGTCCAATGTCAGTTTCGTGCTCCCGTGACTGCTTGTGACTCGAAGTCATCATTTGCTTTGCCTAGGGCTTGCGTCTCTGCAACTACTGGGCAAGACTTGAACATTTGCCAGAATGTCAAGCAGTGTCCCGGCTGTAGAGTTGAAAGAGCAAATACGTTCAGTATCACTATGTATATATGTATCGATAATTGTGCTATTCAACATCAAGTGAGTGGAGATTACATCGCCAGATTTTCTTTCTCCTGGGGTTTCTATCATCCAGTTCTTGTAGGACATCTAAATCGCAATTGCACGTGTCAGCGCGAGGCCCATGTGCACCGTGGAAGGCAGTGGTCAAACTGCCAGCGGTGTTCAGTTGCCTTTGCTCGCAGCGGCAGTGGGTTCCACAGAAGCTCGGACTGCGCTGGCAGGGCTAGGGTGAGGATCTGGTGGGTTGTCACATGGCTTTGTAACATGGGAGATGACCCCAATTTACAGCCGTTTAAAAGGGAACATGCTGATCAAATCTGATCAATCAAAATTTGTGAGAGGTTTTTGATGGATCTTGCGGTTCCCACATGGTGAAAAACTTTGATCCCTTCCGTTGTGAGGCCTGCTGGCATTTGGATGGTTTTTTTGACCCCTGAAGTTCACTGGGAAGACTAAGGCCTTGGCCATTCTGCTGGGGTTGGTGTGGTTGCTGAATGCTTGGGCCATGCCCCTTGGCTGCAGAGTTGCCCGCAATGACCTATGGGTAGAGGACAAGGATTGCATTCCATGTAAATGCCATATGCCATACGATATCACGTTATATCACGTTATTAATCATTAATCATTATTATTTTATTATTTGAATCAGACTACACACAGATATATATATATATATATATACGTTATAACACACACACACATATCATTGCTAAATCACACTACTGTCATACACTGTATCATGCACTGTATCCTACTATCCCCGTCGATTCACGCCGGATGCCATGGCGGACCATGCCATGGACCATTGGACCAAAAAGCAGAGGTATGCCGGCTGGGTCCGCTCGGATCGGGACTTGGTGCTGGTGCCTCAAATCATGTACCACAGGCTCGGCTCGGAGCGCAGGTCACGTTGACTACAACGGTTGGGTCGTGTGACGCGGTTTCTTAAGACGGAGAGAAGATGATTTTCACTAATTGCTTATACAAGAGGTCTGTACAATTCCTCAGGAAGTCATTAATTACATATCATATATTACATTAACATACATTAGAATTACCCCCCCCGTAGTACCGTAGGCTTTTTTTCATTGTATACAATGCTTTGGGGGGTCCTGTAGGTTTTCCCCGGGGTCAACATACATTGTCCTGAGATGAATCACTTAGGGGGGTTGGATGATGTACCCCCGCCAGCCTATATTTAAGATACCTTTAAGACACTACCTACGGTGTTTCAACAGACTTTTTAGATCTGTTTAGCAGATACTGTACTCCGCAGGTTCAACAAAAATGCGGGACATGTATTGGAAGGGAGGAGGAATAAAACAGTTAGCAGGATAGTTAAAAGTTAGGGAATGTTAGGGAGCGTGATATTTTCACATACTATAATTTCATCTGCTGTCAGTGATTTCCGTAGTTCGGTTGGCTAGGGGCAGTGGTGTGTGATGAGCGTTTGAACAACCGCAGCCAGGTTCGCAGTGAATTTCCGCTCGAGGAATGAAGGGAAGCTAGTCTTCACGCTGAGTGCAGAGGCGCGTTTGCTCACATTTGCTGAGTGCGACCGGCTTTCCATAATCTTATCTTGTTTTCCTTCATCATTGAACCATGCTGGACCATGATGAATTGAACCATGACTGAACCATTTCCTCCTGGCATGGACCAGGATGACCCATTGGCTATCGCTGCAGCACTGATGCCGCGAGGGCAGCGCACTAGTCTGGCCTGGGTCCCTGAGTCGGGACCTGTGGTCATTGAGTTTTCATCCTTCATGATTTGCCCATCCTTCACCCCTCTATCCTAGACCCACAGGCTACGACCACTACGGAAAAGACATAAAAAGACGATCAAATCGCTGAAGTTTCGTTCCTGCTTTGAGGCGGTCATGTACCAAGCACCTGAGACCATGATTGGGACCTACATGCCCGGAGCACAAGGCTTGACAAACCACGTGAATTGCAGCCGGGTTTCACGCAGTCTTCGTCCATAACAGTCACATAAGTAAGAGGAATGATAAGAAAATATAAGAAACCAAATGACATTGCATTTGTATGCATTTGTTGTGCCAGTACATTTGGAAACGCCGTTTGCTTAGCGGCTTCGCGCGGCGAATCCGCGATCCCTTAGCGCGGTGAAATCTGGACATGATCCTCTTTCCTCGTTATTGCCGTACAATACTGCATCCTCCTCCTCAACATCATCCTGCTGAACCTCATCATCATCACCATCATCCTCCTCATTGAAGTAGTCGAAGTAGAAGAAGAAGAAGAAGAAGAAGAAGAAGTAGAAGTAGAAGCAGTAGTCGTCGTCGTCGGAGCAGCAGCAGCAGTAGAGCATTGACATTCCCCCCTACCTGCCCCCACCCCAAACCCTCACAAGTTGAAGTAACAACTTGAAAAATAAATATCATCGTCGTATATCGTCGTAGTCGTAGGAGAAGTCGTGTAAGCAGTAGTTCTATGTTAGAAGTAGAAGTAGAAGAAGACGAAGAAGAAGAAGAAATAGAAGTAGAAGTAGAAGAAGTAGAAGCAGAAGTAGAAGTAGAAGAAGTAGAAGTAGAAGTAGAAGTAGAAATAGAAGGTAGAGGTAGAGGTAGAAGTAGAAGTAGAAGTGGTGGTAGTGGTGGTGGTAGTAGTAGCAGCAGCAGTAGTAGCTGCACTAGTGTTTGAAGTAGGTTAGTGCGTGGAATGTGCGAGTGAGTGAAATTTGATGAAATTTGCTTGTGGAATGTTTAAGTGAGTGAAATGTGCCATGTGCAAGTGAATGCCTGGCCCTCCCATACCCCCCCACTGAACCCTAAAGGTGCGTGACCGCTCTAGTGATGTTTCAAAAATCGTGCCTCTGGGAGGGTTTTGTGTGATGTACCGTGTGGCTTTGCCGTGCTAAGTGATTGTGGTTTAGCCGCTCTAAGTGATTGTGGTCCCGTCCATTTGCCCATTCCTGTAAGATCACATATGCAGATTCATCCATTCCAGTTTGTCCTGCCTTAGCTTATTTTTTCTCAAAATGCTGGTGCGAATTGACCCAGGTGTCATGACATCAGGATCTGAGTGGGCTGCAACAGGCTACAGCCCCACGACTGCAGGCAGCCTCTGTTGCAGTTTTTTGTGTTTGACGAGCAGCCTCTGTTGTGGCCTGTTGTGGTGAGCTCACCTTGTGACGTCGTTGCCAGGAGATACTGGTTACACAGAGCCCAGGTGGTGCTAGACCTTGGAACCTCAGTTGCAGCAGCAGCTGCCGATGTATTCATTTTGACTTTGGACACAAATTTTGGCACTGAAAATCACTGAAAGCATCCAGTTTGCGGTTATATGAATGTCAAAAACTGAGGTTTTCTGAGGCGCATTAGCTCGAGAAAAAGGCTTGTGTAGAAGCATTATTGCCAAGTGGGGTATGTGGGGGTGCAGCACATGACAGATATATAGCACACACACATATATATATAATTATATATATATATTTAGAGAGAGAATAATTCTTCACAAGCTACTGGTGAATAATTCATGGCAATTCGCGCATGGCTGTCAAATAGTGACACGCCTGATGTGCACCTAAAGGGATGCCATCAGAGTGAGAAGTTTGAGCCGTTTCACTGCCTGGCGTCAGAGTTCAGGATGTTGGCATATGTGCCAACAGATTATGTTGATGTCGTTGCGACGATTCTAGTCACTAAATTGACTGACCAAGTCTGATCGACTGGAATTGATCCTCGACGAAGTGATTGGCCGTCTCCTTCGAATGTGTGATAAGGATGTTCAAGGATAGTTGCCGGATGTTGCCGGCAACTACCACGTTTGAGCTGCAGTGTTTGTTGCTGAGACACCAGGTCCTTATGTCTTTTGCAGCGATTAGCTGCTTTGTTTCACACAAAGATGAACGGTTAAAGGTGAAATATCCGGGAGATCCCTGTCGGACCTGTCCTACCACGGTATGTTACAAAGCTATCCAGGGAAGCGACTTTGCCGACTGTTGAAAGTATAGGGAGACTGTAGAGGGCACAGGTCATTCAGCTTCAACAAGCCGAACATCATGCTGAAACAGGAGAAGGAAAGCCCATTCAACGCATTTTTTTTGCACGCACACATTAACATATTGATTCATTGATATATATTCATTGATATTCCTTCAGAATCATTCAGAATGTATTGTTTCGCCATTTTATTTTGAGATCACCACAAGACATGTCAAAATATGGGCAAGGGCCAGCAAGGGAGTACATGTCATGACTCATGACACGTGTTCGTCACCTTGGCACAGGTGTGGCCGGCTCCCTGGCAGTCCAAGACTCTGCTCCTGCTGGGACAAGTTCCAGAAAAAAGTCACGTGGGTTTCGTCCAAAAATTAGAGTATATCCGAGTATACCATAAAGCTTCTTTTTTTTGTGAACCAGAACTCTTCCCAGGAAAGACCAAAACTCAGAGTTGAGGTGGTAAATCTGCCTCTGGGGGTAACGCCATAGCATACCGCAATTTATGGCCAGTTTAACGAGTTTGATGGCGAACATATTTATCATATTTATGATTTGGTGGATTTTCCTGATATGTTCCTAAGATGTTCCCAATTGTTTAGCCAGTTTCCCCAGATTTTCCTAGACTTTTATGTGTCCTCAGGTAGAAAACCGCGGCCTGAGGCCATGACCGTGGCCTGGCCTGTGTGGATCGTATCTTCGATGGCCAACTTGGACAACGCATGGACCGGAGCCCAGCTCCACAATGAACCAGTTGATGGCCAACAACAGCCATATAGATTGATGGTAAAACATGGTAAAACCTTCCATTTTCAGACACACCCATGTTTTTTTTTGGAAGGTCAAGAGACAGGACCAATCAGTGTACCGGCTGTAACTCGTGCCGCGTTGTTTTAAGTCGTCCCGGGTTCGTGTGCCGAACCTAATTCTGAATTCCAGCTTAAGTGTTTTGATTTATGTATATATATATATATACTAGGTACGGATGAGATAGGAGTTGTCGGAGGGTCCAGTTTTTTTGATTTCCCATCTCATGAGTAAAGTATTGTTTTTGCCCTTTGAAAGTGCCAAACTCCTATCTCATGTGGTTCTAGTAGTCATTTGAAGGATACCTGCATCAAGTTTTTACATTCCCACGGTGTGTTTTTTTAATGCTACAGGCTACAGTTTGGACACATGAGATAGGACTTAGGGCTGATTTGGGGTATGTTCACATAACCCATGTGTTGGGACTGTAGCATCTATATCCCATGAAGAATTCCCATCTCATGGGTTTCATCCTGAGCCATTTGACGTATTTTTTTTTCATTTTCTCGTTGTTTCTCTACTGTTGTTAGCTTTAATAACGGGCAGCAACACGGCTCGCGGAGAACGGATGGCCACGTGTCTCCCTGTTTTTATCTCTAACGGGAAGCGACACGGCTCGCGGGCCGCGTGTCTCCCTGTTGTTGCATGTAACCGGTCTCGCTGTGCAGTTTCCCACATGGCCTCTGGTAGCTTCCCGTTAAAAATAAGAATGGGGAGTGGGAGCCAGGATGCACTTCCCCGTGTAAAAGCAGATGACATTGGCGCGGCAAGGGAAAAATAGCGACCTCTAAAAGCAGATGAGATAGGACTTTTGGAGATTTGACGATTTGACCTGGGAAATCTAAAAGCACATGGGTGCGGCAAGGGAAAAATAGCGACCACTAAAAGCAGATGAGATAGGATTTGTGGGGGTTTGACGATTTGACCTGGGAAATCTGATGCCGCATCGGCGCGGCAAGGGAAAAATAGCGACCACTAAAAGCAGATGAGATAGGACTTTTGGAGATTTGACGATTTGACTTGGGAAATCTCATGGCACATGGGCGCGGCAAGGGAAAAATAGCGACCACTAAAAGCAGATGAGATAGGGCTTGTGGAGATTTGACGATTTGACCTGGGAAATCTAATGGCACGTGGGTGCGGCAAGGGAAAAATAGCGACCACTAAAAGCAGATAGGATTTGTGGAGATTTGACGATTTGACTTGGGAAATCTATGGCACCCGTTGTGTCTCACCGGGGAGGCGCTTGGAACTGCTCGCGCCCACAGCTTCACTGCTCAGAACGGGCTGGACGGTCAGCAGTTGCAAACGCCTCCCCGGGGAGACACAACGCAGAGGCACAACGGGAGACACAACAGGAAAATGATGTAAAATGAGAAAAAGCTGAATAGCGACCACTGCAAAGCAGATGAGATAGGACTTGTGGAGATTTGACGATTTGACTTGGGAAATCTATGGCACCCGTTGTGTCTCACCGGGGAGGCGCTTGGAACTGCTCGCCCCCAAAGCTTCACTGCTCAGAACGGTCTGGACGGTGAGCAGTTGCAAACGCGGCCCCGGGGAGGCAAAACGGAGAGACACAACGGGAGACACAACAGGAAAATGATGTAAACTGAGAAAAAGCTGAATAGCGACCACTGCAAAGCAGATGAGATAGGACTTGTGGGGGTTTGACGATTTGACTTGGGAAATCTAATGGCACATGGGTGTGGCAAGGGAAAAATAGCGACCACTGAAAGCAGATGAGATAGGACTTGTGGAGATTTGACGATTTGACTTGGGAAATCTATGGCACCCGTTGTGTCTCACCGGGGAGGCGCTTGGAACTGCTCGCCCCCACAGCTTCACTGCTCAGAATGGTCTGGACGGTGAGCAGTTGCAAACGCGGCCCCCGGGGGGCAAAACGGAGAGACACAACAGGAAAATGATGTAAAATGAGAAAAGCTGAATAGCGACCACTGCAAAGCAGATGAGATAGGACTTGTGGGGGTTTGACGATTTGACTTGGGAAATCTAATGGCGCAGGGGTTTGGCAAGGGAAAAATCGCGACCACTAAAAGCAGATGAGATAGGATTTGTGGAGATTTGACGATTTGACTTGGGAAATCTATGGCACACGTTGTGTCTCACCAGGGAGGCGCTTGGAACTGCTCGCCCCCAAAGCTTCACTGCTCAGAAAGGGCTGGACGGTCAGCAGTTGCAAACGCCTCCCCGGGGAGACACAACGGAGAGGCACAACGGGAGACACAACAGGAAAATGATGTAAAATGAGAAAAAACATGAATAGCGACCACTGCAAAGCAGATGAGATAGGACTTGTGGGGATTTGGCCTGGGAAATCTAGTGGCACATGGGCGCGGCCAGGGAAAAAAATAGCGACCACCAAAAGCAGATGAGATAGTATGGTGTTGATTTGACGATTTGACTTGGGAAATCTATGGCGCCCGTTGTGTCTCACCGGGGGGGCGCTTGGAACTGCTCGCCCCCACAGCTTCACTGCTCAGAACGGTGTGGACGGTGAGCAGTTGCAAACGCCGCCCCGGGGAGGCAAAACGGAGAGACACAACGGGAGACACAACAGGAAAATGATGTAAAATGAGAAAAACATGAATAGCGACCACTGCAAAGCAGATGAGATAGGACTTGTGGGGGTTTGACGATTTGACTTGGGAAATCTAATGGCACATGGGTGTGGCAAGGGAAAAATAGCGACCACTGAAAGCAGATGAGATAGGACTTGTGGGGATTTGACGATTTGACTTGGGAAATCTATGGCACCCGTTGTGTCTCACCGGGGAGGCGCTTGGAACTGCTCGCCCCCACAGCTTCACTGCTCAGAACGGTCTGGACGGTGAGCAGTTGCAAACGCCGCCCCGGGGAGGCAAAACGGAGAGACACAACGGGAGAGACAACAGGAAAATGATGTAAAATGAGAAAACCATGAATAGCGACCACCGCAAAGCAGATGAGATAGGACTTGTGGGGGTTGGACGATTTGACTTGGGAAATCTAATGGCACATGGGAAGGGAAAAATAGCGACCATTAAAAGCAGATGAGATAGGATTTGTGGGGATTTGACGATTTGACTTGGGAAATCTATGGCACCCGTTGTGTCTCACCGGGGAGGCGCTTGGAACTGCTCGCCCCCAAAGCTTCACTGCTCAGAACGGGCTGGACGGTGAGCAGTTGCAAACGCGGCCCCGGGGAGGCAAAACGGAGAGACACAACGGGAGACACAACAAGAAAATGATGTAAAATGAGAAAAAGCTGAATAGCGACCACTGCAAAGCAGATGAGATAGGACTTGTGGGGGTTTGACGATTTGGCTTGGGAAATCTAATGGCACATGGGTGTGGCACGGGAAAAATAGCGACCACTGAAAGCAGATGAGATAGGACTTGTGGAGATTTGACGATTTGACTTGGGAAATCTATGGCACCCGTTGTGTCTCACCGGGGAGGCGCTTGGAACTGCTCGCCCCCACAGCTTCACTGCTCAGAATGGTCTGGACGGTGAGCAGTTGCAAACGCGGCCCCAGGGGGGCAAAACGGAGAGACACAACAGGAAAATGATGTAAAATGAGAAAAAGCTGAATAGCGACCACTGCAAAGCAGATGAGATAGGA